GGAAGAGTTATTAATGAGTTGCAAGATCAGCTAAGAGAGAAATGCAAAGGGGCCATTGATAGAGTTTTAATGTTGCTTTTTGTTTTTGTTTTGAGGCTGGGTCTCACCGTGTGGTCCAGGCTGAACCCACAAAGACCCACATGTTTTTGCCTCCTGGTGCTGGGGCTAAGGGCATGTGCTGCCTCTCTCAGTCCACTTATCACCTATATTTTGTATAAATACAGAGAATAATATCAACATCAAGTAATAAAACAAGTAACAAGTTATGGGGAAAATGGACACTTATAAACTCCTTCTCCAAGTTGCTGAGAACAACACAGCAGCTTTCTGCACATAACAACAATAAGACATCAAAACACAGGAAAACAGGACACTCAGACTGGCCTATTTACTTAGAAAATTTCAAGGTCTCAAAGACCTGTATGTTGCAGGATATTTGATCTCACTGTGAAGACGTGTCACCATTTTACCTCACCTGCCTAGGCATCTTCTGATTGGTTCAATAAAAAGTTGAATGGCCAATAGCTAGGCAGGAAAGGGTAGGCGGGACTTCCAAGCAGAGATAGGAACTCTGGGAAGAGGCAGGATTTGCCAGCAAGACACTGAGGAAGTGGGATATACGGTACTGAGCAGAGGTAACAAACCACGTGGCAGAACATAGATGAATATAAATGGTTGATTTAAGTTATAAGAGCTAGTTGGGGAAAAGCCTAAGCTAAGGCCAAGCTTTTATAATTAATAAGAAGACTACATGTCATTATTTGGGAGCTGGTGGTCCAAAGAAAGTCCGCTACACCTATATTATTCTTCAGGACTGAAGTAAGTACAACGGTGACCCTGGGATAAATCCTGGGTCTATTTAAGGGGTTGGAGATGTAGCTAAGTTGGTGGAATGCTTACTTAGCATGCACAAAACCCTGGACTCTCTATTCCCATGAGCCAGGTGCGACAGCACATACCTGTAATCAGGTTTAAAAGGTCAAGGGCAGGAAAGGGATGGTTCAATTAGTAAAGCATTTGCCTTGCAAACAAACATGAGTACATGAATTCAACTCTCAACCTATCCTAACTGATGAACTTCAGGCCAGTGACAGATCTTGCATCACAGCACATGGATAGGAGGATACTTAAGGCTATTATTCTCCAGCCTCCACACACGTGCACCTGCACCCCTCCCATGAAAATACACACACACACACACACACACACACACACACACACACACACACACTTAAAAAAAAAGTTATCTTTAATCCGAGCACTCAGGAGGCAGATGCAGACAAAGCTCTGAGTTTGAGGCCAGCCTGGTCTACAGAGTGAGTTCCAGGACAGCCAAGGCTATACACAGAGAAACGCTGTCTCGGGAAAAAAAAAAAGTTTAAGTCATCTTCAGCTATGTAGCAAATTTGAGGTCAGCATGCAGTATATGAAATCTTATCTTGATCAATTATGGAATTAATCAAATACAGCTGGTAAAATGGAACATGATCCCTAGATTCAATTGGTAACAGATCAATGAGACTTTGAACTACACTACAGTTATGAAAATTAGGTCCTTTTAAGTTTTTACTTATTTTTAAAAGACTATTTACGTGTGTGTGTGTGTGAGAGAGAGAGAGAGAGAGAGAGAGAGAGAGAGAGAGAGAGAGAGAGAGAGAGAGAGAGAGAGAGAGAGATCTTATAGGCCAGAAGAGGACTCCCTGGAGTTGTAGTTCAGGCAGCTGTTAACTGCTCAATGTGGGTACTAGGAACCCAACTCTTCAATCCTCTGAAAGAGCATCCAATGCTCTCAGCCACTGAGCCTTTTCTCCAGCTCCCAAATTTTTGTCATCCAGTGTGCTTGTTTGCTTGTTTGTTTGAAGCAGTTCTGTGAGTCAAGCCCAGGGCCTTGATCATGCTAGGTAAACACTTTACCACTGATCTACAGCCCTAACCTTTATTTTTTATTTATGCACATGTATGTGAGTTTGTTTATGTGTATGAATGTGTATGTATGTGACCATAGGGACCAGGAGAGATTGTAAGATCCCCTGAAGCTGGGGTTCCAGGTGGTTGTGGGCTGCCTGATGTGGGTTCTGGGAGCAAACTCAGGTCTTCTGCAGAAGCAAGAGTTCTTACTACGGTGCTGAGTCATCTCTCCAGCTGCAGATCCTTGCTTTTAGGACATACACATTGAACAATTACTGAGTAATAGAAGCCTTTTCTGAGATTTGATAGTTCAAATGGCTTTAAAAATGCATGCCCATATACATGTATCTGTGTGTGAAAGGCAGGCAGGAGAGGTCAGTGACTGAGGAGCCATGTGAAGAGCAAACAGTTCTGCAGGCTTTCTTATAACTCTTCTGTAAGTACAAATTGATTCCAAATTAAAAAGAACTAGTTACAGAAAGGTTGTAGGTGTGGCAAAGCTAAGAAGAGAGTAGGAATGCTAACAGGAGTTACTGTAGGAAACTCAGAAGAGTAGGCAGAAATTGAGTGGCTTCCTGATATGGAAAAATCAGAGAACAGAGTGAAGATGGTGCTAATATAGAAATCCCTCCCACAAGTCTGTCAGGGAAATCGCTATAGCTCCTGAGCAGAAGACAGCAATACCCTCTTAGGGTGGAAACAGAAATGGGGAAATCCACTTAATGCATGTAAGGACAGCTTATCCCAGCTTGTCACACAGGTGGCTTTTGGGGACTTGCTTCTTGCCACCTCCTTTACAGACTGGTTTGTGAGCTAATTGGCTATTTGTTTGGGGCAGGTACTGCCAGAATGTTCCCTGGGCAGGCAGAATGCTGAGGAGATGAGAGCATAGAGCTCATTCCCAACCCCATACAAAACCTGCAACACTGATGAGGCCAAATCCCCACACAGGTATCCTGAACAAGACCACAGAGAGGGCAGGGTTGGCAGAGTGCCTGAATATCTCTTACTACGGGCCAACGGGCCTCTTGTCATTGTGTTTTACTCGCATCACAGAGCCTATGAGATAGGCTGATGGACCTTCTTGCAGACAGGATAAGACAGAATGGAAGAGGTTAAGTAGCATGCTGGACGCTGCAGGGTAGTGAGTGCAGAGCTCTGACTAAAATCCAGGCTCTTTTTTTTGTTTGTTTGTTTGTTTTTTTGAGGCGGGATTTCTCTGTATTGTTTTGGAGGCTGTCCTGGAACTCGATCTGTAGACCAGGCTGGCCTTGAACTCACAGAGATCCGCCTGTCTCCATCTCCCGAGTGCTGGGATTAAAGGCATGCACCACCAACACCCAGCTAAAATCCAGGTTCTTCTGGCATCCAGAGTCATGTTTTCTGCTTTGCTGGTCTCTTGTCACCTGAGAGCTTGTGAAAGGTCTATAATTCTCCTGGTATAATAAGAGTAGTGACTGTGTGTGTTCTCCTGTGTGAGTTTGCAGATTGTCTTCCTTGGAGACCTTGTAACCTCTCTACCCTGTGTCCTCCAAGCCCTCTCTGCTCCAGAAACATGACTTTTCCACATTCTGCTGTCTAGTGACTAGAGTAGTGACTCTGGCCAGATACAAAGATCTGGGGATGAGGGACCTCTCTCCTTTGTGAATGGCTTCCTGTGAACAAGGGACCCTAGATTATCAACACTCTCTTCTGGCTGTGAGGAAACTGGGCTAGGAGGGACCTGGTATGTGAAGACATGTGGAGCCTGTAAGTCCTTGAAAAAGCATGTGTGTTACATGGATAATTCCAAGTTTATAATTGATACAAACACATGGGGAAGAAGGGAGAACTTCCCTACAGTAGAATTCCAATTAGAAAGTGGAGAAGAAATGATGGAAACAGAAGGTCAATCTTAGGAGTGAGAACTACAGGCAAGAATCATCAAACCCTGCTAAAATGAGCCAACAGAATGACAAGAATAGGATGCTCCCACAGTGCCAAATCATTTCCTGCAAGACGCAAAGAAAAAAACTGTAACTTAACAGTGGAGAAGGCTGGCAGGCTTCACCGTAGTCAACAGAGTCAACACCAGCAGTTGACTGACACCAGGAAGGATGCAACACCACTGATTTGTTGTCTGGGGACATGGACACATATGCAGCTCAGGCTGGCTCCAAACTTGAATTGTGCTGCCTCCACCTCCTAGGTGATGGATTATAGTGTGTGCTACCATGCCAGTGCATTACTCGGGTTTAAGGAAGACAATATATTAATCATTATGGTGTGTGTATTTCCAGTAGTCAGAGAGCTGCGGCTGGAGGATCATTTGATCCCAGGAATTGGAAAGCAGCCTGGGCAACATAGAAACTGTTTCAAAAGAGGGGGTCTGGGCAAATGGAAATTGATGGCATCTCACAAAGCATCTGAAACATTTGGTCAGCCCTCTGACAATGTCAAGGTCAAAAAGGAAGCCAGGATGAAAGGAGACTCCAGAGACCACAGTTAATTGCACAATTAAGTCCTGGACCAGAAAAAGGATCAATCTTACTTCCTGATTTTGATAATTATGTTTACATTAAGATGTTCACAGGCCTGAAGAAGGCCAGTAAAGAATTTTTGTGCTGTTTTAAAGCTTGTTTTTGACAGCCAAATTACTTCACAATGAAAAGCCAAATATAACTAAAAGCATATAGTTCAGGGACTAGGCTTTCTTGCAATGTACGGGTGCCTGATGCTTTGTGGGATGACATGCGGTCAGTGCTCAAAAGCTTAGCACCCACAAGGGGTGGAGGTGGGAGGTGTTCAGATCCACATGGAGGTTTATACAACCAAGCTCAGGCAGCTTAGATTTATGAGGAAAATATACCAGTGTAGTGACACATAACTTTAGTCTCAGCAGTTGAGAGGCAGAGGCAGGCAGATCTCTTATGAGTTAGCCAAGGCTACATATCCTGTCTCAAACAAAAATATCATTAAGCAAAATAAACAGTTACATGCAGAAGATATAATGAAATCCTTAATGAGCTCTGGAAGGAGTTGTCCTTGTGTAGGACCCAACAGATCAGAGGCTAGGAACACAGGCAGAAGACAGCAGAATGTTTGTCACTCACTTGTCCTGGGATTCAATGTACACGTAGAGATGAGGCTCAAAACACTTGGAAACAATGCCATGAAATGGATTGTCTGGAGCTTTGGGCTTCTTTGGCTGGAAAGAGATAAGGGGAAAATAAGAATGAACATGAACCCTATGTTTGAGCAACCTCTGCAAGTTTTTCAGCAATTTCAAAGAAAACATCAGAGTTCAGTCTTTGCTCACAGAGAGGAGCAATAGACATAGGGCTGCAACACGCCATGATCTACACAGTGAGTCACCACCAGCTCTTGTCAGTATCTTTGACTTGCTGTGTGTGCTGGAAGATTTAATGCTACCCTGATATTACATATATCTTTGATTTGGAAGCTTATCATCAGCAGATGTTTTAGAATGTTAAATCTGAACTGAATTTAAAGAACACTGTATTGGCAGTCTCTGCTTGTTGTTATTATACATCTTGATGCTAGACACCTTCATGACTGTCTTACTGCTATTACTACACAGCTCAGGAAACGGAGGTGCTGGGCTCCTCTACCAGCAATCCCAAGGTGCATGGTCAGACTTGCTACCTCCTACAGAGCTCCCCAGACTTTGGACTTTCATTAACAAATAATGTAAGAAGAGAGAGGAGCAGGAGGCCAACAAAGGGATTACCACCTTGTTCTCTACTTTCTAGCCTCACCATTTACAGCGTTTTGGCATGAGGGCATCTTGTCTAAGAAAGCATGGCTGGTAAACTTATGGTGGGGAGACTGATACTTGAAAACCACTGGTAAACAGGTTACTTTGCGGCAATTGTTTAAAAATTGTATTTTCTCCCTAATTCAGTTCTAAGTATCTAAAAAAAACCTCCCTGTTACTTTCTACTCCTTAAAAAGCTGTTAATCTGTCTATTGCCAAATGCCAGCAAAATGACTCTGAGCCAAAGATACAGCGAGTTCAAATTTAACATAAGCCATGCCTACAACACACTTGCTGATCAGAACTCTTCCACCCTTTTCTCCTTCTTTTTGTAGCTCTGGAGATCAAACCCAAGGTCTTGCACGCTAGCAAACACTCTACCATCACGTTCCATTAAATAGGGTAACGAGGAACGACCACTGTACAAAAGTTGGACTGGGCACCTTGCTGTACTCCTGCTATCTCAAACTCCAGAGCAACAGGAGCTGAAGTCTGAGGCCAGCCTGAGCAACATAACAACAACATGCTATCCCAGAAAAGGGGCCAAGGGGTAGAGATATGGCTTCATTGGTATATTAAAAAACAAAAAACCTATACAGAGAAGCTACACACACACACACACACACACACACACACACACACACACACACACACACACGCACAGTGCATAATGTGCATAACACACTAAATTAAGAGATAGGCATACATTTGTGAAACTAACACTGCCACCAAAGCTCCTCCTTCCTCTCACCTCCATTTTGATTATGAATATGATGACGGTGGTGATTAGTAGTAAGGCTATTTTATATAAGCCTACCCTCTTAAACTGCTTCTATCTTAATGAGCACTAAAAAAAGCTAGGTATGGAGGCACATACCTGTAGTTCTAGCTACATGGGAGATATAGACAAGAGAAAAGTTTGAGCCCACAGCTTGAAAACAACCCTGGCAATATGGTGAGACCCTGTCTCAAAAAACAAAGTATGGGGGTCAATGAGCAAGCAGACAATTAGCACCAAGCCTGACAACTTGAGTGTGAACCCCATGTGGTGGAAGATGAGAACCAACTCTCACAGTTGTCCTCTGACCTCCAAACAAGTATCAAGGTACATGCTCCCTCGCCTCCACTCTGAAAACACTGCCAAAAGCTACCATCCAGTGATAGACAAAAATACATCTACTTCTTCTTAGCATCTGGTTACTTACAAACCACTATAATGGGTTAAAATTCTTTTTTAGCTGGCTCATATCTTTAATTCCAGGCGGATCTGTGAGTTTAAGGCCATCCTGGTTTATAGAGCAAGCTCTAGGACAGCCAGGGCTACATAGAGACAGTCTGTCTCGAAACAAAGCAAAAAACAAACAAACAAACAAACAAAAACACCCAAACATTGAAAAATGAACAATTTTCAAAAGAAATGAAATGTTGCTGAGTGTGATGGCTCGTGACTTTAATCCCAGCATTTGGGAGGCAGATGCAGTGGATCTCTATTGTGTTCTGGGATAGCCAAGGCTACACAAAGAGAGAAAAAAGTCAACCTTACATGCATCCTATAATCTTAAAGTGTGAACACCACATCTTGCTTTTATATCAGTGCTGGGGATCTGAACTCAAGTCTTTTTGTTTGTTTGTTTGTTTGTTTTGTTTTTTTTTTGAGACAGGGCTTCTCTGTATTGTTTTGGAGGCTGTCCTGGAACTCACTCTGTAGACCAGGCTGGCCTCGAACTCACAGAGGTCTGCCTGCCTCTGTCTCCTGAGTTCTGGGATTAAAGGTATGCGCCACCAACACCCAGCTTTGAACTCAAGTCTTTGTGCTTGTGTAGCAAGAATTACCTGCTGGGCCACCTCTCCAGATCCCATTCTATCTGTTTTCTTATTTTACCCCTTTTGATAAGGCTATTTATTAATAATATAGAAAAATGTGATTCAACCTGTCTTTGTAGGACTAGATGTAGACTGGGAAAGTATGGCTATTCTCTAGCCAGGTATTTGTTCAGTGATTAAAATATAATAATTAGTATTAGTCCTTTCTGTGAGTATGTTGGGGATGCACATGTTCATGTAGGTGTGCTGTACAAGTTGGGGAGAGGTGTGGAGATGAGGATAACCCAAAGAGTTATTCTCAGGTGCCTTCCACTTTTTGGACTGGAGCTTTGTCAAGCAGGCTAGACTAGCCAGCTAATGGATGCCAGGGGTCTGTCTGTTTCAGCCTCATCTCACATGACTGGGATTATAGATGCTTTCCACTGTACCCTGCTTTTTACATGGATTCTGGAGATCCTAACTCATGGCCTCACACTTACAAAGATGAGTGCTTTACTAAGATACCTCCCTAATCTCTACTATCTGTCTTTTGTCATATCTTATTATTATCATTAGCATGAGTGTGTATATGTATGCACACTCACGTGTGACAAGAAAATGGAAGTCAGAGGACAACTTTGTGGAGTAAGTTCTCTCCTTCCATCTGTAACATATCCCCAGAACTTAGTAGGCCTCCAGGCCTTAGTACAACGGACTTCATGATGGACGTACCATTCAGGCCATAAAACTCAGCATGAAGACACCACCACCAGTCAAACAAAAACAAAGGCCTAATCCATCAAAGTCCATAGTTCTGGGGAAGTCTCTAATGTACCATCCTTGCTTTTTGGCTTCTGTAGTTCTGCTTCTGGCTAACTGTTCTTGTTAACTGAAGTATATCAGGTCAGAATGTATTTTGTTGTTGTTTGTTTTATTTTGCTTAAAAGAAAGACTCGGGGCTATACTGGGATCCCTAACACCCAGTGTAGTTGTCAGCTGACTAGTAAAGACTTCATATTGGCTTAAACCCCTGTCTGAGTAGTCTGTTCTAGTGGATACGTCACAACACATCTGTACACGGGCTCTGGGGACTGAACTTGATTTTCCATGCTTGCACAGAAGCACCTTTACTCAGTGAGTCATCTTATTGGCTCATCTGGTTTGGTCTGAGACAGAGCCTTGCCACCTATACCAGCCTAGCCTTGAACTATGTATCTCAGGCTGGCCTTGAACTGCAATCCGCCTGCTTCAACTTCTTTAGTGCTAGGTTTACAAGTTCTCCATCCAGCATGATCTTCACAGGTGCCCCACAGACTGCATAGACAGCTGCATTGCTAGATGGGCTGGTGTCCCAACTCCACCTTAGGTGACTGATCTACCTGTCTTGTCTGTCATTGGTCCTGCCACCACTGTAACTAGCTCCTTGTTGATGCATTTTATCATGAGCTGAAGCAAAATGGGGATAACAGGAGAGACTGACTGTCCAGGTTTCTTTCTGTTACTACTTGTCTATAGGGCTGCCCCTGCCCACAGCTGCTCTGTGAATGTGCTCATGCGTAGCAAGTAGGTGCTGGAATGTCTGCTCACACTGGTGTCTCTCTTTGCACCAGGCAGCTCCCCAAAGAGCTGATCTGCAGCTTAAAGAACACACTAAGTCATTTAGCAGTAGCATTCAGGCTGGACTGCTGAGTGTGTGAATTCTGTCCAAATGCTGCAGATGTTTAAGCTATTTCCTCCCAGGGTTTGATGGAATAATAAAAGGTTACTGTTGTCACAGTAAGGAGGTCTGCAGCTGGTCCCATTTCCTTTTATTACTATCCAATGTAAACAGATTAAATCTAACTGCTCGGATCACCAGAAGGGTACATTTTTAAACCAGAAATTTCTGATTTCTTCTCTCCCCTCCTGTGCCCTCAGTCCCTTGTTTGCTTTTTGGGTTTTGTTGTTTTTGTTTTTTGGTTTTTTTAATCACTGGGACTATCTTGGCAACTAAGCACCCAGGTCCTCTCAAGAAGTGAACACTACTTTTCAAGTTCACACTCCCTTCCTAGCAGCCAGGCACAAACTGCAGCCGAGAGCAAGAGCTGACATTGACCTTGAGGGTCAACTGCCTCCTGGCTGTAGCAAGGAAATGGCTAGAGTAACCCAAGACAACAGGTAGGGGTTCCCACACACACTTAGGCTAGCCTTAGGTGTGCAGTTTCTTCCCTGTACCCCAAGAGCTCCTGTTCCTCCGGTACACAAAATCCAGAAGCCAAATGGCTGCTGGGAGGGAGAGTGAGTCTCCATCTAGCCAGTCAGAGGTGGGAGTGACATATAGGGGGCATTAGTCATTTTGTGAATGTTACTACTGACAAACAACAACCTTGGATTATGGGGACATCATCTAGATTAGGAACTTTTTCTTAGTTTTTTGTTTAAACATATGTAAAATTTCATATTTAAAACAAGTTTGGTCTGGAAGTCCACACACAAAGTGACTCAGAAGGGAGCTGCTCTGGCAGCAGGGACCTTTCTCTCCTAACTCCCCATGTCTGATGGCCCATCAGAGAATACAGCATGAAAGCCACTGTAACAAGAAAAATAAAAACCGAGAGACTGATATTGGGGTCCAAGCTTCAAGCTAGATCAGAGAAGAAGCAGCCAAGCCAGTAGATCTTACCTCTATCTCAGACTGAAGAGGCTGATCCTGTCACCATGAATCCTCAGACTGCATTCCCAATCTGCTGCCTCTCCTCAATGTGGCTGGAGACAAATTCCTAAGATTGACTTTGCTTCCTCCTTTTATACCTCTCAAATCCTGGGATTAAAGGCATGTGATCCCAAGTGCTGAGATCACCTTTTGTGAACTGTTTCTCTTCAGGACTGGATCAATTTCATGTAGCTCTGTGTGGCCTTGAGTCCTGGGACTGAAGTTGTGTGCTAGCACTGCCTGGCTCTAAGGCTTGCTAGTATGGCTGCTGGGATTAAAGGTGTGTATCACTACTGCCTGGCTCTGTGGCTAGCTTTGCTTTCTGTACCTTCAGGCAAGCTTTAATAAATCATAAATAATATATCACCACAAGTCACGATGCAGACAGCGGGGAGGTTAAGAACCTAAGACCTATCTGAGGCCATGTGACTTTGAGTAGCAGACACAGGTCCAGCATTTTCCTCACCACACAGTTATGCTTTTACACCTGCTTGTCCAAGATTAATGTTCACTGTCCTTAGATCCAGCAGGTCTTGGTCTTACCACAATCACTTCAAGCTTTCATGAAGAAGAAAAAGCTCCAAGACAAAAACAAAATCATATTTTACCTAGCAAAATTGTGCAAAAGTATGAAGGAACTCTGCTACTTCAGTGTAATGACATCCAGAGGTGACCAGCTACTACAGAGCATCTGAGTGACCAAACTGCATGGTTCTAATCATGGTTCTAATAGCATGGGAGAGACAGGAGGGCCCCATACAAAGCATGGTTACACAAGGCATTCTTCTACTGAGCAGATGGCCCAGTGAGGGGGCATTTACAGGAAGAATGAGGCCCTTGTAACCTGAGTCTTTGTTCCCACACTAAGAACTGCTCTGGAGTCAGAAGCAATATTCCCATTTCTGTGCTGCCCAATGATTCAGTGGCTTTAAATCAGTTGCAGCTAGCCTCACTTTTCTGGGACAGACTCACAGCAACCCTTCAGTTCTGCCCATTTACTTTTGCCCACAAACTTAATTTCTATGGCCTCCACTTTTTAATAAGACATGAAGTGTGTTCATGTTGAGGGTTGGTGTGGGCTAGGAAAGGAATTCCAGCTTCTATCTGCTAGACCTAGCTGCTAGTCACAGCCTCTCCCCTTCCAAACTCACAGCCCTGAGCAAACTGTTTAGCTTCTCAAAGCTGTATTTTGATCACCTGTAAAACCAGAGGGAGGCACTATGAAGTGAAATGAAAGAAAGCATGTAAAGATTTTGAAATTATAAAGTGTCTTAAGTGCGAGGTATCTGTGTTGTTACAATTACTTAATCAATGGAACAGACAGATTTAACGGTCCTTAGGAATTCTGCTATCTGACCTCTGTCAGAATTCACGCAACCTCACCACACTAGGAACACAGGCTTAATTGCACAGTGTGTGGCTGGGGTGTCCTAGGGCTGGTGTCCCAGTCACCTTCCTTTGACTGGTGTCTGGAGAGAAACAATGCCACCAAATAATCCTCTAGCAGCCAAGTGTAAAAATTAAAAAGAAGGAGCACTAATCCAGAAAGGAAATGGCTGACCTACTGCTCTAACCTTTCTTGACATAAAATAGCAATGAAACAAAACAAAACAAAAAGTCTGCAGGAAGAAGGGAGAGAAATTTGAGCTAGACAGAAAGTGCTGAAGGAAATTAAAAGTGCTAGTGTGCTCTGAAAAGAACTCTGAAGATGCTGCTGGTCACCCTGATGTTTCCAAGGCCTCCCCAGTGGCTGCCATGCTAGCTTGTTCTGTCTGGAGGCCTCTCCCAGCCCATGACACTGCTGACCTCACAGCATCTCACATCATCGTGATGTTGGATGAGAGGAAGGGAAGTTGCCTGACAGACCCAGATGCTGACGGGGCAGGCAGCTCTACCACCTGGGCTGAGGAGGAGAGCCTGTGGTGCTAAATGCTGAAGGGAGGATCTTCTGCAACGAATCAGGGGCAGGAAAACTGTGCTTTGTTTTCTGACCATGCCCTCTGTACTGTGAAGGCGAGCCAGCTCACCTTCACAAAGCTGCAGGAGTCACTTACAACTACAACACAAGCAGACTTACTTGTTCTAACTCCCCTTTCTCCAGCTCCTCCATCTCTGGTGTTGTCTCCTCTTCCAGGAAGGGATTGGTAGATGGTGGTGGGGACTCCAGCTTTTTCTATTAAGACAAGAGAAAAAGGTTATTTTCTGAGAATGAGCCTTGCCAATGACTTAGTTTACCCAGCTCCTCCTAACAGCTGGATCACTGGACCTGTCCTCATAAGGAGAATGGAGGCATAGGGACCACATTCTCATATGTGTGCCTTCATATCCTCTTCCACTCATTAGAACCTGCACAGCCCACCCTATTCCACTTTTTTTTTTTTTTTTTTTTGGTAAAGACAAGGCCTCTCTATAGTCCTGGCTGTCCTAGAACTCACTATGTAGACCAGATACCACTACTGCAATTCTAATCTGGCTAAAATTCTCACTCAAGATACCACTACTGCAATTCTAATCTGGCTAAAACTCTCAGTCATCCTTTAGTCTTCACTTCAGAGGTCCCTTCTGGGAAGCCTTCCTCATCTACCAAGTTTGGACTACATGTCCCTGCTATGTGCATGTCCTTTATGGATACTTACGAAGGTGAGCACAGTTGTCTGTGCTGTAACCCTAATGTTACAAGGTAGAGATGGGTGGGTCACAGGAGCTTGCTGGCTAGCCTAGCTGAGAAAGTAAGTGCCCCTTTCTCAAGGGAATACACTTAGAAAGAATTCCAACATCTTCCTCTGGAATCCACATGTAAGTATGAATACCTGAATATTCACTCCCGCACACATGGCAGAGAGAGAGACAGAAAGAGAGAATGAATCAGACACTCTGATGGCTAGAATCATGTATGTGTTGGTCTCCATTGTGTCTTTGGTGCCTTTCATGTAATAGGTGTTTAATAAATATGGATGAATCCAAATACCAGATGTGTTTGAATTCAAGATCTACAGAAATAACCTCACATGTTCTAGATTAAAGCCAGAAGTCCATCCCCAAGTCAAGTTCCATTATAATGATCATAACAGAAAGTTCCTTGAGAAAAACTATTTCTCCGTTCTGGAATGAAATACCTGTTTCAAAATACATCAGTGAGGGGGCCTCAGGCAACTGGGAAAGCTGGGGGCAGAAGATGTTCATGTTTTAGCTCCAACATTGCTGTGATGGTCAACCATCTAGTTTCTCTGAGCCACGGGCGTTTTCATTTGCCGAGTGAGGTTCTAGTCACACACTGCTCTAAGGGTGAATGTAATAAATGTGTGAAGGCCAAGTACATGGGTATGGGCTCACTGACAATGCTGATTTCAGTGCAGATGCAGAACCCACACAAATCTCGGGCACACTTTATGCCTTTTGAGTCAGAGATGTCATTTATGCTTAGGTGCTGAGAGTTTCAGCAGAAAGGAAGCCAAATGACAAGCAGGTCAAAGGTGTTTGGTTGGTGCTGGGGTTAGGTAATGTGGTAAGGGATGGATCCTAGAGACAAGAAGCTAAGTGGAAACAAAGTTTCCAAATGTATTTGTGACATTTTAACATCTGAGCAGAGCAAGCTGGTGTAATCTCTAAAACTAAAAGAAGACCACAGTTGAACAACAATGTGAATGACTGCCAAGTACCAGGGCATCATTTACAGGCAGTACAAACAAAAACCAAAAATGAACTTAAACGAAAAACCCAAGCCCCGGAGGTATGTTATGAGCTTTAAAATAATTTTGTTTACACATATTTAAATACTAAATTCTTATCCGAAACACTTGGGCGCTGTTTTGTAGTCAAACAATGGCTTCTGTACATGAAGAAAGACTTTTGATGACTGTGTTAGCTTAAGGGAATCATTACTAAGACAATGGTTTTTGCAGAAAAACGGCAAGAAACAGGCACCTGTTTCATATCTGCACCCTTTGCATGCTAGCTTCTTGACTTGCTGTGGGTCACTTATATGTGTGTGGGCTTTTTTTTTAATATATGTGCATGCATGTGTGCGTGTGGGGGGGTATTTATATAATATCTGGGTAATATCTATAATTTATCGAGATTTTTTAGAAACCTATGCTCCTAAGCTTTAGTTGCTAGTATTTGGCCAGGCATAGTTGTACATGCCTATAATCACAATACCCTAAAGGCAAAGATAGCAGGATCTCAAGTTCAAGGCCAGTCTAGTGTGTTAATGAATTCCAGTTAGAATCCAGTCTGGGCTTTCCTGTGAGTTCTAGGACAGCCTGGCAACTTATTCAGACCCTGTCTGAAAATAAACATATAAGCAAGCAAACAAACACCACTGCTGATATTTTTTGAGGGGAAAGGAATAGTGAAAAAGAGAATTCACCAAGACTAACCTTCAACAATTAAATTAGTTAAACTATGTATGCTGCCGGGTACCTGAAATCCCAACTTTCTGGAAAAGTGAGGCAGTAGGATCTCTTGAGCAAAGGAATTTGAAACCAGACTGGACAATGTCAACAAAACAAAATACAAATCTCTAGCTGCAGATATAGCTCAGGGTTAGAGTTCTTGCCTAGCCAGGGCTACATGGTGAGTTCAAGGCAAGCTTGGGTTGCCTGAGATCCTGCATCAAAAATTAAACACATAAAACAAGTGAAAAGTTAAATTAGTTAGGAGCCTTATATTCACTTAATAGTAGGTTTGGGGTCATACTTCTGAGGGGAGTTGCTATGACTCTGAGTCTCCTGGTGCTCTGGGATGTGGAAAGTGGGTCCCTCAGTTGAAATTAAAGCCCTGCTCTAAACCATTCCATGACAAAAACAGGATCTAAACTTTTATGGTAAATGTTCTTAATCTACTTCATCTTAACTCTTATACAGCAGGGCTTCACTTTTAAAGCACAATGGGATATTTATTGGATAAATGAAATAAACAAAAAATGCCAGAACTAATGAAATGAACTGAGAATGTTCCTAGACTCTATGCCCCATTGGGAAAAGTGTCAATGAATGGATAAAAGTAAGAAGGACAACATGAAAGCCTGCACTGAACACACGGACCAGCATGAGGCAGTACCCTTGGACTAGAAGTCCCTTGAGTTCCCTTCTTCCATCCACATGCTGATGAAATCACAGACATGAAGCCCCTAGCACATTCTTAGGGCATGCACATTTCAAATGTGGACTGCCTTCCTTCCTTCAACTACTCACTGTGTACCTGGGAAAGCAACAAGACAAACAGACTTTTTCTGCTCCCCGACGGCTGAGAAACAGGCTTTAATCAACCACAGAAACATGTCATAAGGGCCTTGAAAAGGTACTTGTTATGAAGGCATGCAGCAGAGGGTCAAATCCAAATGGTAGAGACAGTATTGAGGGCTGCTTTGGAGCTATCTGAGGTTGGGAAGTGTGGATGGAGTGCTTTCTATGCTTAGGCAACAGCATTCATTTGCCATGCAATGGACGTTAAATATGTGTCTGTGCCCTAGCTCAGACTCCTTGTCCTGCACTGGCGATGTGAAGGACTAAGACAAGGAAGGGAGGCACTGTAGGAGGGAACTGAGGACCCAGCTGGCTGGGACAGGGAACAGTAGGAGACATAAGTAAGGAGAAGGACTAAACAGTCTTGGGGCAGTCTGCAGGATGAGTGGGCAGAGGGGTAAGGTACAAGGCAGAGGGTCAATCAAGTGCCTTTTGTAAGCATGGTGAGATTTTCCTCTCACAAGAAATTGGCACCAAGGAATTTTACACATGGAAGTAAGAGATACTAATTTGGATTTCTTTTTTCTGAGACATAGTTTCTCTGTAGCGTTGGAGCCTGTCCTGGAACTCGCTTTGTAGACCAGGCTGGCCTCGAACTCACAGAGATTGCCTGCCTCTGCCTCCTGAGTTCTGGGATTAAAAGTGGGCATCAGCACTGCCTGGCTGGATTTTTTTTTTTTAAAACTAGGTCTCATTATGTTGCTCAGGCTAGCCTTGAATTCCTGGACTCAAGTGATCTTCCCTAGCCTCTCCATTATCTGGGATTAATTTTTTTAAGCCGGGCGTTGGTGGCGCACGCCTTTAATCCCAGCACTTGGGAGGCAGAGGCAGGCGGATCTCTGTGAGTTCGAGGCCAGCCTGGTCTACAGAGTGAGTTCCAGGACAGCCTCCAAAGCCACAGAGAAACCCTGTCTCGAAAAACCAAAAAAAAAAAAAAAAATCTTTTTACAATCGGAAATACGTTCCCCCCAAACATGATTTTTTTTTTTAAATTTGGAAATTTCATACAATATACCCCATCACACTCACTTCTCGTTTCTCCCAGATCTACCCTCCCACCCTTGTCCCGCATCCTAAAACAAAAACATCAAATCCAATTTGTGCTGCCCATATACTCATCAGAGCATGGTCAAACCCTTAGTGGTCAGTCCCTTTAAGAAAACTGAGTGCTTCCCCCACCCCACCCTCACCAGAAGCCATGAACTGTGAAGAGCTATGATTTAGCATCTCTATCACAGTTTTTAAGGACTCTCTTCAATGGCTTCCTGCCTACTGTTTCTTTTTTTTGGGGGGGTGCTCTCATTCTCAGCTATGAGTTTTCAGTCATTGATATTACTATAAAAGAAGCTTCCTTGCCCATAGCAGGCAGCAATAGCATGGATCATGGACTTTGACATGGTTTCCAATGGCAGTACAGATCGTGAATTTCAACATGGTTTCCAGCAGCAGCTCAGATCAAGGACATCACCTGGTCCCCAGTGGCAGCATGGATTATGGACATCAACATGGCCTCTGACCACAACAAGGACCTTGGACATCAATATGGCCCGCAGCAGCATGACATCTGATGACAGCATGGACCACAGAAGTCTTTCAAGGAGATTTAACCAGAAAACAAACCATTCTTCATCTCAGATATCTTGTTGTTGCTCAGAGTGAGAAAGATCACGAGTTGGGTAGAGTGCTTGCAGTCTAAGGTTAGCCCCTTGGTCCTTGCTCTCCTCCTGCAGCGGCTTACACAGCAGCAGTGACTCCGCTGGGGGCTGAGTGGTAGGACTGGCCTATCAGACCGGCAAGCAGTGACAACCTGTTGCCAATGCTGAGTTGCTTCTTTCTGCCAAGCACACCGTGCCGCTCTATTCCACTATCTTTTTTTTTTTTTTTTTTTTTTACAATTCCAAGAAACAACTTTTTTAAAGCATCTTCC